GCAGCGCGGAAGAGGAGACGCACGGGTTTGCGGAGGCGCTGATTGGGAATCGTGCGGTGGACGTGTGTTGCTGAGATAATGGTAAGGCAGAGGAGAGAGATGCCTAGACCGCCGCAGTAGAACCAGACTAGGCCTTTAGAGATGTGGTCTTCGGAACGGGAAATGAAGGTTTCGGATAGGGATTCTAGGGGTGCGGAGGAGGTGTCGTGGGCGCGGACTAGGACGCCGAGGGCTGATGCGGATAGGACGAAGGACATGATGAAAGGGAGGTGGGCGGAAAACCATGTCAAAGCTGATTCAATCGTTAGCCCTGGCGTAAGATTTGGGGATCTAACTTACCGGAGAACACATGTCGGCGGATAGCATGCGTATGCAGATTGAACGAGTCAATCTCAAAGTAGACCCAATTCAACACGAACGTCTGCACCAAGCCCAACACCGCCTTTCCAAAGAACGCATTGATCCCCATCGACACGCTACTCTGGTACAGCAAACCCAACACACAAGACCCAAATACCAGCGTAACAAACGCGTTCGTCCGCTCAATCCGATGCTCGATGTTCGTCGCGGGATAGAACTCCAGACTCCTTTTCCACGACTCGGGTACGAACCGCGCGATGGGCGACCCCGGTCGCTGAAGCAACACCATGGCAAACTGACCAAAAAGATCGAACAGAATAGCCACCCAAATAAGTCCCTGTCGCTTCGGTTCCTCCACACTCACGCTCGCCATCCAAAGCGCCGCCGGGATCAAAGAGAGTAACGCATTCCCCAACATACTTCCCCTCACCATGGGAATACGCCATGCGTACCAAATCCAGCAACTCGTCACAAACAGTCTCGCCGCGAGATAGAACCCCACAAGTGGTGCGTACGTCCTCTCCCACGCCTCAACCATGTTCGTCGTAAAACCCAGCAAACACGTTAGTAAGAAAAGGACGGAGACCCGCCTGATAACATCATCGCTATCGAACCACGACACCAGTACTCCGATGTCCGTCCAGAATTTCCAGCCCATGATGAAGGTAATTGCAAAACGAAGCAAGGACTGTGCGGTGGGATGTTCAGCTGCAGAATCGCCTGTTATGGCAATAATGCCCACGTAGAAGAGATCGATGAAGAGTTCGTAGCTAGCTACCTCCTGTGCCTCTTTTGCGCGCCACAGCAGGCCCTTATGGAAGTATTGTCGTACGATGGGCTTTTGGTAGAAGTGGATTGCTGTACCGCGTTGACGATCAGAGTGCGATGTTTCCTTGTCGAAGGAGGAGTCAGCGAGGGAGTCTGATGATGGGTTGTCTTCTTTGGTGCGTAGATGGGCCGAGTAACCGTATTTGGAGAAGTTGGCGTCGAGTTGTACGGCGTGGGAGGTTAGCATGTGGAGTTCGGTGGAGAGGGTGTCGAGGTCGCGGATTACGCGCTCGAATTCTTGGGCTAGGTCGCCGTGGTCTTGGTGTAGTTGGTGGTGGTGTGCGGTGTGGTGGGCGTGGGTGTGGCGGAGTGCTTCGATCTGTGTGCGTTAGTAGGGCGATTGTTCCATGCCATGGCTCGCTCATTCTTGTGTAGGACTAACATGTTCGGGGGATCCATGGATGACTAGGTCGAAGTCTTCTTTCTCGCTCGCATTGCTCAGCTTCCTCCTCATGTGATTTGCTTCATCGGGGGAACTCGCAATGTGCACCTTTCTTCCATCTGGTCTCAGAAAGTGTTTCAGCCTCTTTCCCGTGTGGTGACCAATGTGTGCATGATGGTGCTGGTGATGGTCATGCTGTGCGCTTGTTGTCGTGCTTGTTGGATCGTCCATGTTGGCAGCCGGCATGTGCGGGATACCAGCCATTTTGCTCGTCACGAAGTAGAAGAAGGCGCAAATAACTGGGAAAGATAAAGAGAGGATCCAAGATATGCTAAATGACCTAAGCAAAGTAATTGTACCGACGCTGTCTCGTTGGGTCGAGAGTGTGGTGGCTTGCCTCTACCGGGGCTAGCGCCTACCCGATTGGTCGAGATGGAAAGTCAAGAGCGTGAATAAGCAGCTACAACACCTGGGTAAGCTGCGGGGGCGGAAGCTGGAGTTCAGCTTATGTCGTTACATGAAACAACGGCTCCAAGATATAGCAGGATCGCTTGTGTGAGATTGGTTGCTTTGGTTCCTTGGTTCCTAACTGATGAGGAAGGAGCGAGACGTGCCTATGAAGTCCGACTCCGACGAGAGGCTCTTCAGCTATCTGTATGATCCTGCGTAGATGAGTCAGAAATCAAGCATTGTGATGGCTTTCGCCCAGACAGCTAGGTCTGAAAGAGAATATGAAGCGGTAGGGACATGTGCATGCGGACATCGCTAGCAGTCGCCTGATGTCTGGTTCTGTGAGAATTCTCCTGCTCATGCTGGAGACTGCGTGGGAGACATCCATAGAAGGGACGAGTCGCTGCAGTATGTGCGTTTCCTCTATAAGTCAAGAACGCAGTCCTAGCTTGATGATAGTGTATATTGCTCGCTGCCGATATAGGCATACTCTGTGTCGAAGGACCTGAGCGCTTCGCTGTCCTCCGAGACCCCGTGTGTCCGCTGTCTATCGTTTCTTCGTCTGCCCTGCAGGGCTCTGTGTACGTGCGCTCGCGCTGCCCGAGTCGGTCTTACCGGCCATCCATGAGGCGAGGTCAAAGTTCTGTAACTGCGATGCCGTGTTGGTGTTTCCGGAGCCCAGGACGCCGTTCTTCTTCATCTCTTCGAATTCTTCCTTCATCTCGGGGTCCACTACGCATGTATCAGTAACCTTGGCAGTACTTAGCGGGCTGCCGAGAGACTTACTGTTCTCCATCAATTTGGGCATGCCGAAGATGAGACCCATGGACACTATCGCCATGAGAATCATCGGGTTCTTCAAGAACGACAGCGGCGAAACTGCAGCGTGTTAGCACAATCTCCCCATTGCGCATTGTCGCGATGCCAACTTACAGCCTTGCCTCTCTTGGTAGAAGTACTTGGTTCCCACCGGCCTGGCTTCAACCACCAAGCCACTGCCTCCCTCGCCGCGGCTCTCTCCCTTGTTGTCCCATTCGTTACCCAGGAAGGTCTGGTATGCCCTGATCATCTCCTTCTTCTCCCCGCTGCCCTCGACCGCCTCCTCCACGGTGACATCAATCCTCAGTGGCTCAAACGCATAGTTGCGGCAATGCACGGTAGCAAGGTAGCTTCCGGCGCTCACATTGTTAAAGTTGAACGTGTTGGAGCGCGTGAGATAGGCGTCGAGGGGCGGGCCGGAGGACTGGAGCGTCGCGTGCGTGGTCGAGGGGAGCGTGGACGGGTTGACAAGGACCGTGTTCGGAATTTGCAGCAGCAGGCGTGCAGCGCTTGTGAGCGTCGCAAAGGACGAGAGGGTGGCGAGTGACGTCTTCATCGTGGCGTGGGTTGCGCGGGTCGTGAGGTTGATCATGTCGTTCTGGTGGGCGATGCTTGATGCGCGAGAACGCACGGGCCTACTCAGACATACCACCTAGGCCAGTACTACTCCGTACTTCACTTTCCGCTGGGCGATCCCGAATGTCCGAATCAGAACAACAATATGTCGAGAGTCAGGATGCTGGTCAGATATTGAAGCTAAATCCTGAGCGGCCGACATTATCTAGGTATCGTAGCACTGGTAGTACGAGAAGTCAAGAGGAACAGCATCATGTAATGGTGAGATGTTGGGCTACCAAGACGAGGAAGTAGCGCCGTTGGCTTCATTTACATTGCACTGGTACCTGAGTAGTATACATCGAGAAATGCTGCCTCCCACTCCCTCCTTCGAACTCATTGGCTCACTCACTCTCACTTTGCCTCGGATCCACTGGACTGAGGCGCGCTCTCACTTTGCTGCCTGGACTGTATGTCCTGAGGACGTCATAGGAATGGGCTCGTGCGACCGCCACTGGACATATATTGTGCCAGCCCAGCTACTTCTTTCTTCTAACCCACCCACACGCCTAACTACCGCCGTCGACGGTCTCTTTAGAGCAACGAACCTTCAACAGCTTCGGAAGTATCTTACTCGCCTGGTACTGCTCGATGACATTGGTATTGGACTCTTGACGACGGCAGTTTAGCGCCGTGGTTCTTCCTTTCTCTTATCCGCAACCCCATCCTATCGCTGCCGAGAGTCTTCGTAGGGTGATCCTTTCACGCCACTCGGCCGTTTAAATGGGCACTTCAACAGTGCTAGGGAGAATTCTTTCCGGTTCTGAGGCGGGGGTTAGCTCCTGCTGTTTGACCAGCCGGGTCAAAAGCTATTCTCTACTACCGTCTTGAGGTGGGGGTCTCTTTTAAGCGATAGTATGGTGTTGCGCCCTCTCGTCCTTGGTTCGCACTGGGGCATCCATACTTGCCAGGTAGAATAGGCCGTTCTACTCTCTTCTACCGGCGGGGTGTCCAGGTGCAGGCTGAGGATCGATAGGTCCCTTGCTCGCGATCATCTCCGCCAACTCCAGGTATGTTGTCCCTACTAATCAGTGGGCGAGAACCAGGTTCCTTCGGCGTGAGCAACGGATCTCGGCGGAAGTCCCCGCGGGGGGCTACAATTTTTCTTTTCATTGACATGATCACCTTGTGTGGTCAGTTGAGGAAGAGAGTGGTGGCGGGTCTCGGCTACATGCGTGGTTGCTCGTTTGGAAGAAGTATAGCCCACATACCCAGATACTGAGGTTAGTTCGGGCTGGAATAGACGCAGTGGAAGCCGTATGGTAGTTGCTCGCTTATCGCATTCAGCTCGCGGCCATAGATAGCGTCGTCTCGTTGCGAGAAAGGTTCAAATCGTCGTGCGTTGATGAGCCTGAAGAGATGAAGAATCGATTTGCGTGTACTGGAACAAAAAGGCAGAATTCAAACAATGAAAAGACACCTTGACTACTACACCCGTCGCCAGAACAGTCCAGTCAACCGCAACGGACTCCTTCCTTCGCGAAAAGAATCAGATAGTCCCGCACTGACACCCGGGAAGCACAAAACATTTTGAATCCTTATCTCCTCAAACCCACACCCTCACTACGTCGACCTTTGAACAGGTGGGATTTTGCGGCTCGCCCACAAAACCTATCTTCCATGCCAGCGACCGCCACGTGTCGTCATACCTCATAGTACACATGTACCAATTCTTGACCTTTTTCGGTGGATCAACCCAATCAGGGGCCTTGCCAGTATCATCTTTGGCGATTGCAATGTACATGCTAGCGCTGCCCTCTTCGAAGCACACCACTTGGTATGTGTCGGTCCAGGGCGTGAAAGCCATGTTCACGAGATTGGTCCCAGACTCGTACTCGAAGCGCATTGCGGACGGAACGGGATCGACGCGACCGTAAAGACTCATGGGCCAGTTGAGGATACCCTGGGTAACGTCGTAGGAAAATACGTTGTGGTAGAAGGTAGTGTAGGGACGTGCAGGGGTGGCGGTCGTATCGTTGGTTAGGCATAGGCCTTCGTAGGCTGCGGACCAATGGCAGGCTCCGAGTGCGTGGCTGCTATCTGTCAGGATGAGGAAAAGAGCTGAAGGGTGGTGGTATGTACTCATTGAGGTCATCGTCGGTTGACTTGAGGATAAGACGGAAGCCGCTGGACTGCTGGTCGAATAAACTCTGGGCGATCGTGACCGTCTGGGCTAGCAGAGTTGCGAGAGCTAAGGTAAAGAACTTCATGGCGTGCTAAGCTTGTGGATGCTGGAAGGATGTGTTCGGATTTGATCAACAAGCTTGTGGGTGTTGATGATGGAATGCAGAAAAGGAACAGAAAACGGAGGCACGGTGCAGCTTTTGTACGGCATTGATGACGGGTACTTTCACAGAAAGAGCGGACATAGATCGTAGGAGCTATGCGAACTTGAGGAAGTGGCTTTTACACAATATGTTTGTATGGCAGGAATTAACGTTGCAATTCCTTACCCTTCTACGTCAATCAAGAAAAAGGATAAATAGGCACGCAGCCTACATAAACATAGAAGCATACAAAACAGTTAGACTAGCTTTAATGTAGGCTCTAGACCTGTTTAGTTTTTTTCCTTGTGTAAGGTGCTTCAAGTGTCTTTCGTAAACTCCGAATGCTGCCGCCACTTCTCCCCAAACTTGAAGATGCATAACGGGATGATGACCAAACACAAGCTCAGTGCGCCCAAAAGAGTGAAGCCCAGCCCATAACCAAGTGCGTCAGACAATGGACCAGTCGTGAGTGGCAGGAAGGTGCCCATAAGGCATCGCGTGACGATGACGCCCGTCATAGCCGATGCGGAGTACATACCGCAAGCGTCAACGACGTAAGCAGATAACGGTATAACAGTCAGAAGGAGCGAGAACCCCATCAGGGCCACCGAGGCGAGAAGCAGGAGTACAGGCAGACGGTATTCTGCGATCCAGCCGTATGCGATTACCGAGAAAGGCAAGAGGATCGCACCCAGGATAGAAAGAGGAAGGCGGTACTCAGGTTTTCCTTTTTCGCCGTCGGGCCCGCGGAGCTTGACGTATATCCTATCGAGCGTAAAGTTGCATACTAGTACACTGCAGAAAGATCCGACGCCTAGATACCTGTTAGCTGCCGTGGGTTCAAGCATATCAAGATACTTACTAAACGAGATAAAAGTGTAACCAATCTGGCCGAACTCGAAGTCATACCTGTCCAGCAAGATCGAGGGTAATGAAACGCTGACAACGTAAAAGAAGCTGAACGCGACCGAGGCAAACAGCGAGAGAAGCATGAGTACGCTCGAACCGAACAAGACCGCAAAAGGCCTGGTGATAGAGTGCCAGAGCTTTGCTAGATACTCATGCGTGCTCTTCGACTCGGGAACCTTTCCAGTTTCCTGCATCGTCTTCGCTGCTCTTCTTCTCAAGACAGCCATCTTGTACGTCTCTCTGAAGTAGACCAGGAACAGAACTTCGCACACGATAGCTAGTCCGGCGGCAATGGTCAACATGCGTCGCCACCCTATCGTCTCTGCGATGGCGCCAGAGATGGCTGGGCCGATAGCTCCTCCAATGAGCGGCGCAAGCATAACCAAAGACATTGCGGAGCCGCGTTGCTCGCTCTCGAAGATGTCTCCGATAATCGCTGGATTGAGGACGTTTGAAGCGACGCAAAGACCTGTGAGCATCCTCGCAGCAATGAACATGCCGCTGTTCTGGCTGCAAACTGCTAGGATAGTCGCAGCGATGAAGCCGATGTTACAAGCGTTGAAGACAGGATAGCGTCCAAAGATCTCTGACAACGGCGCGATGAGCAAAGGTCCAGCAGCCTCTCCAAGTTCCCAGATAGTGACGAGGAGGGCGCTATTTGCAGAGCTCGATTGCTTCCCATCGAGATCCGAGACGATTTTGCTGGCGACTGGCACAACGCCGATGCAGGTAAACGTCCTGTGAACATCGTTAGCATTGAGAATCTTGTTAATGATAATGCTAGAAAGATATGCATACACGGTGAACGCCATAAGAGCAAGCAACAAAACGATACCCCATTTGAAACCTGGCGACCAATTGCGAGGGTCCTCAGGGTCCAGAGGCTCAAAATCAAGCGCGTCATTTCCAGCTTCCTCGGCATCATTCTCTTGTTGGACACTTTCGTAGTCATGCGATATTATTCTGAGCAGAGGCTGCTCTTCGTCCGTGAGCACCATTGTGGCTTTTGTTCCACGGATGGATTCCTCTAAAAATATTCAAGATGGGATGATTGCGAAGCACCGAGGTTTACAGAGCCCAGGAACTTTTTCACGGGACGAGCGCGGCGGATTGTGACTAATGAACGCCCTAGGGCGTGTTTGGGTTTGGGGTAATCTTTAGCGTCGCTCAACTGCGGTGGTGAGAAACTGGCATCTGTTGAGCCGTCAAAGTCCGTGCAGCATGCATGCTTCCAGCCTCGTATGCAAAGTAAGATGATTGGTCGGTGTAGCATCGTTCCGACGTTCGATCTGTATTGAACTAATATCTTATCGTGTTTACTATTCATCTACGGCTATGCTCTAATCCGCTGTGTTGCACGCCACCTTGTACAAGGTAAAAACTAAACAGGTGCGCTAGAGTCTACATTATAACAAAAACTTAAGTTTCAAAAAGTATTAAGGCATTGTAGCCTTATAGCCATTCTTCTCACTTGCGAAGAGCTAGACAAGCAAGTCTTCTGTGATGTTTGTTCAGACTGTACGTCTGAGAAAACACCCTCTTGCGACCACCACAGGTCAGCCTGGCAGTTCGTGCAGCATCCCGCTTTGGCTTGCACGCAACCTCTGAAGCTTGACGCCTATCCAATTCTCTCTTATTCCCAAAGAGTTTTCACACTCTTTACAGGGGTACTGTGCAGAATCCTTTGCTTCCTTGTCCCTTCCACGTCGGTACTTCCGGATGTGTTCGACAACAAGCACCAGTGTCTGAGCAAACCCTAGATACGCTTGCATATCGAGCTATTCCGGTAATGTCAACCTGGGACAAACTGAACAGGCCGCAACCTACGTTTTTGTGGTTACAGCCTACATCAACATAAAAACGTGCAAAGTGGGTAGCCTAACGTCAATGTAGGCTCTAGGCATGTTCGGCTTTTTTCTTTGTATGGTATTGTATCTGTCTGGCTATCGCATCCCGTTTCAGCCATAGTTTGCTCACGGCCCGTAGCCGGCAAAAGAATCATGTGTACCGTGTACTTCACTACATGTCACCATGTCGTCGTGAGCCTCGCGGATATGCGCCGATGGCGAACATCATGGATAAGATGTCGATTGGTTCCAGATCCCGAGCCACCTGAAACCACAGCTCCATGGGCATCCGATCGAGACCTTGCGGTAGGGGTCGTCTTCTGTTGCTTGTATTCGAGGCCCTATCCACACGTACTATGCTGAAGTAGGTGTGCGCACTAAGCTCCGGGGCGATCCGATGCCGCTGCAGGGTAGGATAGATGGCTAGAGCAAGGTTCATAATACTACCGACACCCGCATAGTTGATTATCATGAGGAGCAGTTCGGCGGGAAGGAGATTAAATAATCTATCGCATTTGTCGTCGCTGGAAGGTGACTTGCGCGGTGGCGGCGGTGGCGGCGGTGGCGGAGGAGGTGGAGGAGGCGCTGCAGACGACATCGTTGCTACACGCCAACCTAGGGAAAAAAACTGAACAGCCTGGAACCTACGTTGACGTTGCGCCACCTACTTTGCAAGGTTTTGGGTCAATGTAGTCTGCAAACCTGTTCACTTTTTTTCTTTTATGAGGTGGTTGCGTGAATGTGGACGGCAAGCGTGTATGTGGTATAGCTCAATCGGTATGCGGTTTGTTGGGTGAGTCTGCAGCGACAGACAGTAGCCAGCGGTAGATGTAGCCGGAGAGGAACCAGGCTCCTATAGCGACTGCGGTGATGTATATCGCGATTGGGCCAAGTGATTGCGGGAAGACGTTCAGTATGAAGGGGTCGAGTACTATGGTTGTTAGACGATGTACGGTATTTTGGTAAGACTAGACGTACTAATATCCGCATCAACTGGAGGCGGATAGTCCATCAATGTGCGATTGGTCGAGTAGTAGGACGCTGCAGCCTGGAGGCGCAAGAACAGTACCGACTCTGGGGCTGCAGGCGGCGCTTCCTTGGTGTTTCGGTCGTCGTCCACTGGGTCGCGTCGAATGACTGAGCTATACTCTGATAATGAGGATATCAACTCGGGAGTATCAAATACGTGGGTGATTGAGTAGGTGTCAAGCCAGAAGTCGGTGGGTTGCTGGGCACGTCAGTACAAACAATCAGGCGAGACGATGCAGGCGATATGCAACGGGAAGGAGCAGTAGACTCACGGTGGCCGGCCAGCAGATGCGCACCTCGTACCTCCTGCCGTCTTGCAGGCCGCGAAGCAGGTACCAGGACTCGAGACCGCGGGGCAGCGACTCGGAGGGAAACTGGACAGGGACTCGGATCGGGAGGATGGTGGACGAGGGCGACAGGTAGTGCAGGCCGAGGTCATCTAGCCCGGGGCGGACATTGGAGAGAGTCACAGGGCTGGGACCAAGGAATATCGTCTTCTCGACGTTGGCATTCACCGTCCAGGCCTGTGTGACGATGCAGAGCAGCCCGGCGGAGAGGCGCATCTTTGGCGGACAGCACGTGAAGATGGGGGAGAGGTGGGAGGGCAGCACTTCATTGTCTCTCACGTCGGCCAGCGCAGCGCCATGGGCAGGCAGAGGAACGGCAGGCTTGGAATTCGTGCGATGAGGTCGTGTTTCTCGCGCAACGGCCAGGCAGCTGCATTGGACGTGTAGCTTAGCGCCGTGGTCCGTGATAGGCGGACCCTTTTGGTCTAAAAGTTCGATTCCACAACACAACAGCACTTCTCCCCCACTGCTCCACTCCCACCGCCAGCAGCTTCAACCCTCGCCGCCCAGGTTCCCCCGAGACTCCATTTCGATACCCCAATTACTACCTTTCCTCGCTGCCACCATGAGAGAAGTCATCAGTCTGAACGGTATGTCGTCCCTTGCGCCATGCGCGCCCTGACCGCCTGCAGCGGGACATCCCTGGCTATTTGTTGATGCTGACTTTGTACGCGTCTAGTCGGCCAGGCCGGTTGCCAGATCGCAAACTCTTGCTGGGAGGTGAGTTGCACCCGACGACACGCTCTGCTGCCGCTGCATCCTGCTGTACAGCAGGAGAAGGGGCTGCGGATAGCTCACCGCCAGTGCGCGATATACTGACTCGGCTTCGCAGCTCTACTGCCTCGAGCACGGCATCCAGCCCGATGGTTTCCTCACCGAGGAGCGCAAGGCCCTGAACGACGACCACGGCTTCAGCACCTTCTTCTCCGAGACTGGTAGGCAGCTTTCGCCCCAGAGCGCCGTTCCGACTGCTAACACCGCGCAGGCCAGGGCAAGTATGTCCCCCGTACCATCTACGCCGATCTTGAGCCCAACGTCGTCGACGAGGTCCGCACCGGCCCTTACCGCTCCCTCTTCCACCCCGAGCAGATGATCACAGGCAAGGAGGATGCCTCGAACAACTACGCCCGTGGCCACTACACCGTCGGAAAGGAGCTCATCGACCAGGTCCTCGACAAGGTCCGCCGCGTCGCCGACAACTGCTCCGGTCTGCAAGGTTTCCTCGTCTTCCACTCCTTCGGTGGAGGAACTGGATCTGGTTTCGGCGCCCTGCTCATGGAGCGTCTGTCCGTCGACTACGGCAAGAAGTGCAAGCTCGAGTTCTGTGTCTACCCAGCGCCCCAGGTCGCCACATCGGTCGTCGAGCCATACAACTCCATCCTGACCACCCACACCACACTCGAGCACTCCGACTGCTCCTTCATGGTTGACAACGAGGCCATCTACGACATCTGCCGAAGGAACCTCGGTATCGAGCGCCCCAACTACGAGAACCTCAACCGTCTCATTGCCCAGGGTAAGCTGCCAGAGCCTGCTTAGAAATCCACTCTGCTAACCTGACTCAGTCGTCTCGTCCATTACCGCCTCCCTCCGATTCGACGGTTCCCTCAACGTCGACCTGAACGAGTTCCAGACCAACTTGGTCCCCTACCCTCGTATTCACTTCCCTCTCGTCGCCTATGCTCCCGTCATCTCCGCCGCCAAGGCCGCACACGAGGCCAACTCGGTCATGGAGATCACCAACGCCTGCTTCGAGCCCAACAACCAGATGGTCAAGTGCGATCCTCGCAACGGAAAGTACATGGCCACCTGCCTGTTGTACCGTGGTGACGTTGTTCCCAAGGACACCCACGCTGCCATTGCCCAGGTCAAGACCAAGCGCACCGTCCAGTTCGTTGACTGGTGCCCTACCGGTTTCAAGGTTGGTATCTGCTACCAGCCCCCCCAGATGGTCCCCAACGGTGACCTCGCCGCTGTCAACCGCGCTGTCTGCATGTTGTCCAACACCACGGCCATTAGCGAGGCCTGGTCTGCTCTCTCGCACAAGTTCGACCTCATGTACAGCAAGCGTGCCTTCGTCCACTGGTACGTTGGTGAGGGTATGGAGGAGGGTGAATTCTCCGAGGCTCGTGAAGATCTCGCTGCCTTGGAGCGCGATTACGAAGAGGTCGCAGCTGACTCCCTCGGGGATGATGAGGGTGTTGAGGCAGAGTACTAGACGGCTTGTTACCGTACTGTGTAGCGTGTTTAAGAGCAGTATGGCTCTACATTGTTGATTGGAAGGTGTCTTGTTCGAAGCCTCGCTTTTGAAGAGAGACAAGTACCAGATTGATAATGGCGGGCTACGGCGTTTACAAGGAGAGCTTCTAGCGTACCTTCTTCTCCATACATGAAGCGATTTGGGATCAATTGTCCTCTTTCTATGTTACTCCCTTTAGTAATGCCAATAAATTGTCAAGCGGCACTTTCCATGATTTCTCATCTTCCCATGGATCTAACATTTGATCAAGTATTTTAAGATGATTGATTGATCAGTAGACCCTTGCACAAGAAAAATATTAAACAGGCCTAAGGCATACATGAAGATACAAACACGCAAAGGAGATAACCAACCGTTAACGTAGGCTCTAGGGCGTTCAATATTCTCCTCGAATTATGTAATATATTGAGCAGCGAACGCTCCCTGTGCTACCCAAATAAATCATCACTGCATCAAAGCAACGATTGCACAACATCTCTCATTTGACCCCAACCAACCTAGAAGTCGTCCTCGTCGGCATCATCCCTAGCCAGCGCCTTCTTCTCGGCCAACTCCCTAATCTTCTCCCCAAGCACCTCCCTCCCATACCTACTCGCCACCTTGCCCGCCAAATCCAGCATCTTGCCATTCGCATCCCTCATCAAGCTAACGATCTCCAGCGCCTTCATCCCATGGTCCTCACCCGCCAGACACTCCAACCCAAGCAACTGAAGCAGCGCACGATCAATCGCCACTTCGAGCGTACTCAGCGCCGACTTCTGCGACGCCGTCGGACGCGTGTGCAGCAGGGTGGAAGAGAGTTGCGAATGTAGTGTTGAAGCGAGGATGAATGCTTGTTCGTGATCTTGCTGTTTCTCCTCGTTGGTCTGAGGCGCGTTGGCGTCCTCGTCTTCGTCTTCCATGTCGCTTTCCTCGCCTCCTCTTCTGTTCTTCTTGCTCTTGGCTTTGTCGATGACGCTTGTGAGCGGTATCTCGAAGCCGAATTCAGACAGGTGCGGGACGGGTGCTGAGGGATACTGTTCTCGCCCTTTGATGATCATGCAGTGGAACTTTGCGCCTCCTATGCCTTCGGAGGATGTGGGTGATGAGGCGACGCCGACGGGCCAGTAGGATTCTTCTTTGCCGCCGCCAGCGCGGCGTGAGAGGAGCTTCGTATCGAGCATAGGAACCCAGCGTGCTTGGCCGGTATTTCTCCAGCCGAGGAGGGTGAGAAGGACGCCTGAGGAGTCGTAGATGTAGGGGTCGCCTTCTGCAGAGAAGAAGACGGAGGTTAGAGTTGTGCCTGGGGGTAGGGCAAGGATATCGGAGTCTTGGTAGACGATGTCGTGTTTGATGTTTTCGATCGTGTAGAGGAGTTGAGTGCTGAGGTCGTTTTGTATGGGCCCGTTGCCAATCGTGAGAATGTAGTCGCGCCACGCTGCACAGGTAACTGCTGGAGAGCTCTTTTGCCTGTAGACGCGAACCGGGAGGCCGAAGAGTGAGTATATGCGCACGTAGTTTGTTGATGTAGTTACGCAGACATATGAATTCGATAGTGCAATTGCAGTGACGGATTCTCCAGTCGGCAGATTAGTCCGCCATTCGGTTCTTGTCGTCCACGTCTCATGCGGTCGGTAGTATATCATTGCTGGGTTGCCGTCACCGGTGCTGTTGGGTTGGCAGGCGAACAGTGTACCGTTCTCGTTGAGGCAAGATTTGTCGTATAGGAAGACGTCGGTGAAGTGGAAGTTGCGGAACGTGTGTTCATCGTAGAATTTGACGCTTACTGTGTGATGCTTGCCCTCCTGTTCCACTGTCTCGACATAGCCGGTCAAGGAACAGCAGAGTAAGCGGCGGTTGCCACGCCAGGGTGTGCTTCCTGGTTGAAATGGCTCGTGAACTTGGGGACGAAAGAGGGCGGAGCTGTATGCGCGACGTTTCGAGGCAGGTTCTATGCCGCTAGTAAGATGTCCGTTTGGACGTTTCTTAGCAGCTGTGATTGCAGGAGCATATCCAGCGCCATCGTCATCAATAACGAAATCCTCCATCTCTTCATCGCCATCCACTTGAGCTTCATCGTCCTGGAACTCTGGGCCTAGAATATCCTCTAACGAGTCCGGAGTTCCACTCCGTTGTCTCGGTCGTCCAGGAAGAGTCTGTACGTTGCCGTTTGTAAGCTTCGCCGGTTGTGGGACACCGGCTCGGCCTTCCGAGGGATCGTGAAAGAAAGGAGCGGAGACGGTAGGCTTTTGTAGTAGGGGGAGATGTTCGTCTGGAACGAGGTCGGTGTGGATGAAGAGTTCGCCTTCGTTGTTGGTGTACGAGAGAATGTTCTCCGTTGGGTGCCATGCCATTGCGAGTATTGTAGCTTTGACATCGTCGAGCTTCTTGAGCTGTTTCTGCGTCTTGGTGTCCCAAAGGCATAGGCTCAGATCGCTCGAGGTAGTCGCTAACAAGGCACCGTTCGGTGACCATGCCGCGGCAGTGATGTCGGCTGTATGACCTGTCTTGAAGACTCGCTGCCTCTCCCAATCACTCGTCGACATGACCTGTATCTGGCGCATGGCGGTGGGTGTAGCAAAAGCTCGCCCATCTGGATGCCAAAGGACTTTCGAAGTCGTCTCCGCATCTGCTTCTAGGCTCTTGATCATGCCCTCCACTCTGTTGACCATCTCAGGCTCTCCACCCTCCAGGTTATACATGTAGATGTGACCGTCGGTGCAGGATACGGCGAGTTGGGTCCCGGTCTTATCGAAGGTAACGTGTTTTACGGCTCGAGGCTGTTCGCGCAGGCTTTTAATGCTCTTGTCTTTGATGTTTACGAGGTTTACGACGAGTTCGCTGCGTCCGTTAGTGACCAGATCGGACGAATAGAGTCGCACACGTACTCGCTGGCCACGGCAATCCAGTTCCCATCCGGACTGAGAGCTACATCCCGTACTGGGAGCGTAGTCCTGACCAGAATCTCTTCGAACTTGCCATTATCGAGCGAGAACCTGCTCACTGTGCCGTCCTCTGAGCCGGTGATGAAGTAGCCATTCTGCGTAAGGATCAGTATGTTGCCCCAACCCTGATCATGTTGTATTGCGCACCCCAGCTACGACGGCAGTGTTGTTCTCCTGACATTCATCTATCGTGACTGGCTCGTCATCGGAACCCGTAGTGAAGACGCGGCAGTAGTTGTCGACTCCGGCTGTGACGAGTTTCTTTCCGTTGGGTGTGTATGCGAGATAGGTTGCGCCAGGGGCATCTAGAGCTTTAATCAGAATGGCAATTCTTGTTTATATTATCAGTCTACTTACGGGCCTGTCGAGCGCGGAGGCGCTGTGTGGTAGCCATTGTGGTATGGTGTGATGGTTGCTACTCGGGAGTGCACCGCGTTCCGGTCGACGCGACCGCGTAAAGTGGGTGAGGTTAGCGCGCTTTGAAGACGCCCCGCCGCCCTCATCATTCCTCCCATCAACAACATCCCCGGGGCCGCCATCGTGGACTGTCCTCAGCAAGCGAATAGAATCTCGTAACGCTACAATGCACAACAACGACTGCACCTTATACAGGAAAAGACCCGAACAGGCCTGGAGCCTACATCGACGTTAGGTCACCTACTTTGCATGTTTTGATGTTGATGTAGGCTGTAGACCGTCTCATGAAATGAAACATTTCCATAATCGTGTACTCTGTATATAAAATCATCATGACAAACGCCACGCTATGCACCCAAACCCAGTATCGTCCAAATCAGCGCCAATCATGCATCCACTTTTACTCCTCTCCTAAGCGTCCCTTGGAAATTCATCTTCCAACCCAATCGTCACCTTGACATTCATACTACCCAGCTCCTGAATCAGAAGCTTGGCAGCATACGGCATAGTAATCTTGCGAACTGCCTTCTCACTCTCACAGAGCTTGCAGTAGCCACTGTATCCCATTTGACCACCTATCATCATCATTAGTAAAGATCTCAAAGAAGAGTCGAGGGAAGAAGGGAAGAGAGAGAGGAGACTTACACTTCTCACAAACATCCACATTATGGGCATCCGAACTAATCATCAACCGCTCAAGAAGCAACTGACTAGCACCATACGCAATCAGACAATCACGTTCCATCTCACCCAGACGCAGTCCACCGTCCCTCGCCCTACCCTCAGTAGGCTGTCGTGTGAGGATAGCGCGCGGACCCCTTGCACGCGAATGCATCTTATCCTGTACCATATGCTTGAGTTTCTGGTAGTAGATCGGGCCGAAGAATGTGTAGAACTGATGGGCCTCTCCTGTGATACCGCTGGTGAGGTAGTCTTTTCCTGTGTAGGAGAAGCCTTTTTCGACGAGGATTTGCGACATGTCTTCGACGGTGGAGCCGCCGAATGCTGTACCGTATTCTAGTGTGCCGTTTAGAACACCGGCTTTGCCTGAGAGGAGTTCCATCATCTTGCCGACTGTCATACGCGAGGGGAATCCGTGGGGGTTCATGATGATGTCGGGGCAGATGCCTTGGTCGTTGAAGGGCATGTCTTCTTGTTGTACGATCAGACCTGTTGTTCCTTTCTGACCGTGGCGAGAGGAGAACTTGTCGCCGAGTTCGGGACGTCGTGTTTGGCGCATGAGGAGCTTGATCAAGGTTGTACCGGCTTCGTTCTCGGTGATGCAGGCTTTGTCGATATAGCTGCAGTCAGGCATCTTGTACTTGTCGGGCTTGTCTTTGTAGACGTTGGTAGCGGGGCCGGCGGTATCTTGGGGGATGGATTTCAGGAGGTAGGCGTCGCCGGCCTCTATCCGTGCTCCGACTTGTGCGATACCGTCTTGTCCAATGGCTTGATGGCTGGTATTATCCACATCGAGAGCGCCGGCGTTGATACGGTCGGAGGTACCGTTAGCATACGTCTTCAGTGGTGTGACGTGCTTCTTCAGAACCTGACAGCGACCGAAGCCGCGATCGCAGGAGGCCTTGTTGAGAATCAGCGCGTCCTCAATATCGTATCCGGAGTAGGACATGACAGCGACGGTTGCGTTTTGACCAGCAGGCAGCTTGTCATATTTAGTGAGTTCAATGGTCCGGGTCTTGACCATGGGCTGCTGTGGGTAGACCATGAGGTATAGCAGTGTGTCTATCCTCTTGAACTGGTTGTAGGCGATCGCTCCAATAGCTTGCTTACCCATAGCGCATTGGTAAGTGTTACGAGGCGATTGGTTGTGATGGGGGTATGGGATGAGACCAGCGACGGCGCCCAGGATGGTGAAGGGCTCGATTTCGAGATGTGTAGTGTATTGGTTGATTTCGCTCTCCTTCAAAGCAATGTTCGTATCGTTTTCTTCGTTGGTATCGAGATACTCCACCAGACCTCTTGTCAGGAAGTCCTCAAACTCCATGGTACCCTTGCGAAGCGCCTTGAGGTAGCGCGAGGTAACCTTGGACCGTTGGTTTTCGACAATGATCATCGGCCGGCAGATTCGACCTTCGTCCGTGGCGATGTGAACTTCGCAGTGGTCGTGATCGATGTGAATGCTAGTGAACTCGGAGATTCGTCCCATTCTCCTGAGTTTCCGGAAGCTGTTGAGGAATCGTTTAGGTGTGTCGGTGACAGCAATAGGTGTACCGTTGAGACACACACTATATACACCGTCTGCGTGGATCTCCTCTCCGGTCTGGAAACAGATATCTTCGGCCCCCAGCATAAACACGATCTTACGCACTGGATCGTCGTCATCTTCGGTTGTGATATGCGTCATGAGCGCCAAGTTCTTGACCAAACCACAAGCTTCACCTTCAGGTGTATCGGAAGTGCACAGCATGCCAAATTGCGAGGGTTGTAGCGCACGGGGACCAGAGACCTTACGCGTCTTTTCGAACTGCGAACTGATTCTCGTCATCATACCCAGCGCCGCAATGTAACTCAGTCTGCTCAGAACGTGAGTAACACCCGCCCTCTCCATCTTGAAACGCTTCAAACTCCAATTTCCAGTCGCAATGGCGCGCTCGACACCCATGGTGATATGGTTCTTGTGTACGCTGAAGTGCGAGAAGGCGTCAAATTCTTGCGCTCGGACAGGTTTCTTCAGTACTTTGTCGATGCTCAACTTGAAGTCGTGGTTGAAGCGCTTGAAGTGATCTTCGAACAAAAGCGACAACATCTGTCCGGACAACTCAAGACGCTTATTTCCAACATAGTCGCGATCGTCTACAAGCTTCGGGTCTTGCATAGCCATCAGAACTCGACGTGCCATGAGAGCCACGTACAGTGCCTTTGGTCGGTAGTTTGTGCCTTCGACTGGGACGTGGGGAAGGACGACGTTGGACAAACACTCGATAGCCTCCAAGTGATAGTTTCGGCTGCGCGAGGTACCGAGCGGCTTCTTCACTAGTCGTACGCGATGGCCGATATACTCAAGCGCTCGCTCCTGGGTGTGTATGCCTTCCTTTGCGCACGCTTCGAAGTTGGCAGCGAAGTTGTCCTGGTACGCGGTATCCTCGCCGGCGATTAAGAGTATGATCTCCTTGTCGGAGTGTACACCCAGTGCCTTCATTACGAACACGATCGGAATCTCCTCGGAGAGTGTGTTGTGGCGAAGGTACATGAGGCCCTTCTTCTGAATGACGTACGTCTTGGTTCGTCTCTCGTGCGTAGAACTCGTAACGCTGGCTTGCATGATGCCCTTGGCACTCTCAACAATGACACGATTCTTGTTCAGCTGCTCTTGAACCAGGATGACCTTCTCTTGCCCTCGGGTGATGAAGTAGCCTCCTGGGTCTAGCGGACACTCGTCCATGACTGCCATTTCGCGATCGTTCTTTCCTGCAAGCACGCACTTGTTGCTTTTCAGCATGATGGGCATGCGTCCAATCTTGATACCCGTCCGCTTGACCTTTGAGTTCCCACGGGTATATATGATGTCCACTACTATCGGCGCCGCGTATGTCATGTCGCGCAATCGGCACTCGTTGGGTGTAATGGTACTGCGGTGGTGGTCGAGGTCATCTTCTTCCTGTCGGTTAGGGGAGAGAACGCGGATGTCGGTGTACTCGAGGAGGAACTTGGGGTCGGTATCGCTGCGGACGAAACGGTTGGCCTTGAGGATTTTCTTGAGTTCCACATCGACGAAGTGGTTGTATGAGTCGACATGCTGCTTGACCAGTCCCTTGGTCTTCAGGAAGGCCGGCAGAAGATTCCACTTATCGCGCGCAGTGTTAATCGGATCGGTCAGACTCTTTCCGTAGTAGAAGGGCTCGAGGAGGGCGGCAAACTCGTCTTTGGCGTGGGTAAGCGGCGCTTTTCGTTTTCGTGTCGCCTCTGCTGATGTGGAAGCGTTGGGATTGAGGTCAGTCGCGTCGTCGCCTGCTGTATTCTGAGGGTTTGCGCCGACAGTGTCTACGTCCATAGCATCGTCAGCTTTCTTTACTGCGGGAGCAGCAGTCGCAGCAGTCGCCTTCGCGGCCCCGCGCGGGGCAGCTTCGGGCTTCGCGACTTCCTAAAGGCAAATTAGTCCCTGGTCGCGACAATCATGCGGGACCTCGTACCTTCTTGCCCACCATTTTGTGCGACAGTAGAGCAGTCGGCGAAGGTTGAGGCGGCGGGTGAGTAGGTTAGTTCGACCGACCAGCTGCAGCAAACATTTGGCGTTCGGCGAGTCAGAAGTGAGAATTAATACTGGCCAATCGGTAATCCGCAGTAGTCAAAGCATCCCTGGGTGAGTGACCAACAATCCAGACACCGAGACTCGCGCGAGCGGAAAAGAGAAGGCGCCTACAGCTTACACGAGCATCACGAAAATCTCAAGGTAGTTTCCTTTGTTGTTGTAGAAGTGTCTTGAGAGTCTGCTTTGAATCGTCACATGTAAAGCACAAGTTATCGGCAGACAAAGTTCATGCATTTAGTGATCAGGATTCGGTTGCTACCAATGCTATGCCATTCAACGCCCGCTATGCCACCAGAAAGCTATCTTCCAAGATTCAGATGCAAGCCAAATCGAAACTATCATCTCAAGTCTCCAAGAAACCTCATGCCAAGGAGCCACCAGCCATAAATCACCAGTCGTGTTCTGCAAGATCGTCACCCAGCGAACGCCGGTACTAGAAGGCATCGCTGACATCCGCCTCGCCGTTTATGCTTCGTAGTGAACCCTCTGCAAGGTCAACCCTCAGCTGAGCCGTATCCGCCTCGCGTTCAAGACTGTCCCACTCCCTGAGTTTCTGCCTCTTCGCATCTTCCTTCTTATCAATCATCTCTCTCAACTTCTGCGCCTCGGCTTCAAGCTTCAGAATCTTGCTCTTGTCGTACAACTCGGGTGCTCTTTGGCCACCAGGGATCTCCTTGGGGAGGTCGGAGAGATGATCTCGGAAGCGCATCGTACGGGGGTAGGTTGTAGCAGTAGAGTTGTTAGATCCGCGGAATGAGGGAGCAAAGGGTGCTGCTCCGCTAGGTCCGCTGCTGGAACCACGCGGACCGGATGGCGCACCACCGTAGTAACCTCCACCTCGTGGTCCTGCGCCCCAAGATCCTCGTCGGGAAGAAGGCCCCGAAAAGTCTCCTCGTCCTTCATATCCTCCAAAGCCACCGCGGCCACCACCACGCGGTCGTGTCGGCGCTGCTAGAACAGGGTTATTGCCCCGGGGAAAGGAGGGAGCCTGTGGTGTCAAGCTCGAAGGTCCAACTGGAGGGGATATCGCAGGGGAGGGATAGCTCCTGCTGGAAGGTCCTGTTGGTGGGGCTCTGGCAAAGCTGCTGTCGCCGTTGCGGTACGAAGACGACGATGGCCCAGTAGGAGGCGCGAAGTCTCTATCTCCGCGCGGTCCTGTCGGAGGACTGTCGCGTCTACGTGGAGGCGACCGCTCTCGCTCGCGACTGTAGTCTCGTCCTCTATCGGGGAGGCGCTCACGGAAAGGCGATCGTGGTGCTGAGGCGGGCTCTCTGACTGGTCGGTCTTCTACGAGGGCGGCCCGGCTAGGATGGATGGGTGGTGGGGAAGAGCGGCGGGACGTCGCTGTAGAATCTCTACCTGACGCATCGTTGGAAGCATATGCTGGCCGCGCTGGCGAAGGAGACCTGCGACTCCTCCATGTATCCGCAGTGTAAGGGTCGGGGCGCTCGCGTCTTGGAGAGGGTGAGCGGCGTCGGTAGTCGCGCGTATCACGAGTGTCGCGGGCCGGAGAGTATCTGCGGGGAGGGCTTCATATAAGGTCAGCAAATGGCACGTCGCGAGGGGAGACTGAAAGCATACCTATTCACCCGGGAGCGCGGCTCTTCGTACCGGCTCGGACGAACAGGCGATCTTATACCCCGGCTCCTAGCTGGGGAGACATCACGCTCTCTCGGTGGTGGAGACCTTTCGCGTGGTCGTGGGGAGCGAGTATACGAGTCGTACTGATCGCGGTCCCGTCGCGGCAGCGGTGACCTTGCCCTGTAGTCATCACGTCTAGGCTCCTCTCGTCGCGGCGAGAACGCTCGGCGAGGCGGTGATCGTGGGCGTGCCCTCCAGTTGTCGTCGCGACGTGGGCTCCGGGACCGTCTCCGGAAACCAGGCGATCGACTGCGCGGACGCGATGAACGGCCACCAGGAACATATGTATCTGCCGAAGCTATACCGCGACGAATGGGCGAGGCGCGACGAGGAGGAGGCGAAGCCCGGCGGGGAGGAGGTGAACGGGCTCGGTAGCTGTCTCCGCGTGGAGAGCGTGGGCGAGGGCCAGGAGAACGCGGACGGTATGTGTTGGAGTACCTGTCGTCTCTATGGCGGTGTTAGTAGATGCGCCCATAGTAGATGCCGCATGCCTGGGAACATGTTTGCGCATCGGAGCCTAGGCGGCCCTTGGTTTGGAGTCGACAAACCTTCGGTCTCCTCGATCTCGCTCACGATCCCTGTCCATTTCTGCGGCGAGGGTGATGTGCTGTGCCTATCGCAGGTAAACAATACTAAGTGATGTGGTCGTAGCGATTAGTCCGGGTTGATAGCTAACGACTGCGCTTGCTGGGCGGTGGGCGCTGGTCGTGTGTTGGGTCGCAAAAAGAGAAGTTCAGAGCCAAGCCTCCAGCGACTGGACGCGTTCGTAGGTCACGTGCGGGGGAGGCGTGCGAGCACTGGCCGTGGGTCAGTCACATTGCAAACAGCCAACCGTTTGATTCACATTCAACTTGGTCGCCGGATGTGCAATCGGGCAGCCGAGAGAGGGTACTGTATGCGTGTGCGTGGTAGATCCAGATTTCCGTAGGTAGCACCTCAGACAGCATCTGGTGTCTTCCTCCATGCGCTCCTGACATCGCTACATCTTTTCCGTGCCCTTCAAGTGGAAGCCTCAATCTACTCCTCAGTAGCCAAGACATTGCGCGTCTGTTGTCCCAGTCTGATGGCACCACCCCTTGACTCACGTTTTCAGCTATTGTCTTTCACATCCTTTGTCCTGCATGTCGCATCCGTCAAGCCTTTCGTCGACACGAGACATACCACCCCTCCATAGTCAGCATACAATTCTTCCGTCATTCTTGTCCTTGGAAGTGAGAAATTCTTCATCTTGATTATGTTCAACTGCGGTCAACCTTGGCTGCCGCATGTAACGCCGTATCCCAATGCTGAATGTGCCGAAGCCCTACTGACCATTGACATCCGTGACGCCGGCTCGCTGACAGAGCTCTTGAAAAACGCAATCCGTAATCTTTTGTACAAAACACATGTCCTTTGCGGACTCTTGACCAACAGACCTAGCGCCTGGTCTTTCGCTCGTCCTCCCGCTTCGCGCGCTTCCTGCTCTCCTGGTTGATCATGTCCGCCAAATCATCTTGATCGATACTCTGCCATTGGCCTTGCGCTTCGGCTCTTTGCCTTGACTCATACTCTTTCTTCAGTGCGTCCTTGTCAAGCTTGTCACTATCTGCCAACTGGTCGACATCAACCGACACGTCGATGTCTCCAGCCTTGCGCTTCCTTTGTGCGTGTCCAAGCGCATCGCGCCTAGCCGCATCTAGGTCATAAGCGTGCTCGCCGCCAAAGAAACCAGTTGCCGAGATGTTCTTCTCGGGAAGCACTGTACCGGCGCTGCGTGGTACACCCGGCTCTTCAGTCTCGATTCCTTTCCGCTGCTTCCGGAGCTGGAACTCTCCACCGATGCTCTCTGCTCCTCCAATCTCGGATGGCATGGCAGATGCTGTTGTCATCGATGTCTGGATGCCGCTCGCGTCTTCGTCGCCCCCCTCCTCGTCATCTTCGTCTTCCTCCTCTTCTTCGTCGCTCTCCTCGTCTTCGCTCTCACCCTCAGCTCGTAGTGCTCCCCAGATACCACGCTCTACAGGCTCGCCGACATGAGTAGGCTGTTGTTGCTCTTCCAGTATGGCTGTTCCATACAGATCGCCCCCAAATTGTGGCTTGCCAGCGTCGTCGATCGGGGGTTTACCCCACTGGCCAGGCTGGAAGCCCCAGGAGGAACCAGGAGGGATCGGAGCGTTTACACCAGGGACGCGCATGTTCGGGTAGGATGGAGGAGGGCCGAAGCGCTGCATGTTGATGAGCCAAGGGGGTGGATGGCCTGGCATCATTCCGAGAGCCTCGCGGAGTTCCTCGCTCAGCTCGCCAGGCTTGAGGTTCACGAGGTTGGTCTCGAACTCCTTGCCCTCGTAATAGACCTCGCCGTACCGCGTCAACTCTGGTTTCGTCTGTCGCCTGAAGAAGGCATCGTATAGTTTTGCGTAGTCGATGTCGAGCTTGCCGAGCTTTCCTTGGACGCGCTCTCGCTGCTTTTGCCTCATCGTCATGTCTGCCTGCTTTTCCAGCACTGCATCACGCATCTCTGCGATGCCAGTTTCCTGGATGAACTTCGGTAGGGCGAACGGGGGCTTCTCGATACCGCGTTTCGATGAGAGGTACTCGCGCTTAAGCGACCAGTGGGTCGGGACCGGAATGACGTTCTTTGCTCCCTTGATGGAGATGAGCAGCTGTGGATTTGAGGATGACACATCCGTCCACTCGACCAACTCAGGCCGGGGGACCAGTGACTTCAGTTGCGCGACCGACAACTTGTTCATCTGCTTCCGCTGCTTCTTGGAAAGCTTGGGCTTGCCATCGTCCTCGTCCTCGCTGGGGATGTCGTCGTCGGAGAGATAAATTTCTGGCTTCTCCTCGTCCTTGGTCGCCGCTTCCTCCTCGGTCGGCTCCCTGAACTTCTCGAAGACGCTCTTGTATTCCTCAAACGCGGGGTCGTCGAGGTCGTACTGGTTCGCGATATCGTCAACGGTGAGAAGGTTCGCGGGCTTGACCGCCTGTGCTTCGTTATTGCTGTCGCTTTCGGGTGCGGGAGATTCGCTCTCACGCGCAGAGTCAGCGGCCTCGGACGGTGTCTCCTGTATGGCTATCAGTATAATGTATTGCGACGCGCGTGGTTTACTTACAGAGCGCTGTTGCTTCTTCTTCGCCCGGCGATAGGCGTTCTTGTTCACCTGCTTCTTGCCCTTTGCGACTGCGCCTGACATGGCGGCGGTGATTGCGCGGCGCGACACTGGAACTTGAGATGTTTGATGATACGCGCGGCCCGGTCCGTGTATATGATCGCGCGATGTGGGTGGGTGCAAGGTGATGCGCGACAGGTCGGAGTCGAGGTGGAAGTTGCTGAGCTCGCGCCGAAAGATTGAGAGCCTGTCTTGGCGCTAACGGGGTCGCCCCAGCCCTAGCAGTTGTATCCACCCACGCCGGAACTTCAGAGGCAATCATTGAAGAACATCAAACAAGCCCAATAAATTTTTGTTGACAAAGGATATATGATTCTATACTCATGGTCTGCTACATTAGACATGACTCACGTGTTGCTTCATACAGCTGCTACACTAAGACCGATCATCGTCCTTGAAGATGTGTCCCCAGAATCCGCGGAAATGCTTCTTCTGTCCAATCTCATTCATATCCTTGATCTCCTTAGGCGTCAGCTTGAACGTGTTCGCCCTCAAGTAATCACTCAGCCTCTGCTCCTTTCCACTCGTCGTAATCGGCACAATATCCTGGTCCATGCACCACCTAAGGTAGATCTCGTTCTCGCCCACAGCATACTTCTTCGTCAGTGCCCCCACGTAGTCATCTAGAGGACCGGGCTTGGCTTTCGTGGCAGGAGTGAGAGGCGCATAGGCGACTGTGGCAATGTTGTTCTGCTTGTGGAATTCGAGGAGTTCTGGCCTTTGCAGGTAGGGGTGGAGCTCGATCTGGTTGCATACTGGCTTGACTTTCGCGGTCTTCAGGGTGGCGGCGAGATGGTTAGGGAGATAGTTGGAGACGCCGATGGACTTTGCGAGACCGGATGCTTGAACGGCTTCCATGTCGGCCCATGCTTTCTGGAGGTCTTCGTCTGAGCCTGCAAACCACGGCTGGTGGATGAGGTACCTATGCTCGTCAGGGTTTAGATGGTTGATGCGAATTTGAGAAACATACAGGTCAACATGGTCCAGTTGCAACTTCTCCAGACTCGTCTTGATAGCTCCCGCAATGTTCTTGATGTTGTCGTTGTTGACTTTAGTCGTGACATACAGCTTCTCACGTGGAATACCGCTCTCCTTGATCGCGGTGCCTAACTCAGTCTCGGTCTTGTAGACTACTAACAATCAGCGAAGTTCTCACATACCCGTTACACAGACTACGGCAATCAACATACCCTCGGCGCCATCAAGATGCGTATATCCTAGCTTGGTCGCAATCTTGACAGAATCGATGATAGCCTGGTCGATCTTGCTTTCCTCGCCAGTCTTGAACCAGGCAGTACCAGTACCGTAGCCTAACATTGGCATTGAAGTACCATCGTTGAGCTTCAACTTGGGCATGGTGACGTTGAGGTTAGCCATTGTTGCGAATGCCCGTACTGGTGGCAGCAAAGGTGTTCTGATGTGGTGAGGCGCAGGCTGGATGGAATTGAGCTGGTATCTAGCGCGACAACTTATGCCTCGAACGTAATTGAGCATCAACTGAGAAGGAGTGTGATGGCGGTTATGTCTTACTGTGTTTCGTGATTACCAAGATGCCGCGCGTGGCCCAATGCCGAAGGTGGGGTGATGCTGGCAAGCGACGTCACCGCGAGTGCCTGCCCCAAAACCCGATACAATACATTTCATTGCACCATTTCGAAACTTAGAGCTTTGTCGCTACTGTACTAGGACAGCTATTTAGAAATTACTAAGCTGTTTAACATGCGCCGAGCTGCCTGCTTCTAGGATTGTGTTCCTGCATGTCCGACGCGCCGTCTTGACTGGTCGCCCAAGCTACTGTTGGCTAGCCTGATGAAAGCACTCAAGGGTATGATACGAACTTTGGAGAAGTAATGAAATGCCTTGCGTTATAGTAGTATGATGCATCGCAAGATGTTGCGAACATCGTCGTCTCTACTGTGCTTATACCAAGTTCTACAACCTCCAGCTCTCCGGCTCCCTTCCTAATGAAATATGAATACAAGTCGCCCAAGATGGTATACTTTGAAGATGACTGAATATCGATATTGCCGCCCGTACAACCAAACGCCTCCTACTATCCCCTACGTCCATGCCAAGAAGATCAAACCATCCGCATTACAGCGTGACGCTGGATCGCTGACGTGGTTGCAACCCACCGTCAAGACCGAAATTCTATTTCGTCTTCTCATGGTACGTCGTCTTCTCGTGCTGTGTCGACACGCGTTGCAGCGAAACCACTAGATAGCGTTAGTAATTGTCTACTGTCAAATGCAGACATCCCATTGTGCTTACCGAAGTCCTCAAGGTTTCTCTGCTTCTGTTTCCTCTTGAGAAGCTTTCCATGCATGAGATTATCAAAGCCTTGACTACCCTGTAAGATATAATACACTCCCGCCATGATGCAGAAGATGCCGAAAGAAAAGGCCCAAACACGGACCACGGCAACAATGTTCGTTCTCCCTCCCACAAACCAGCCAAAGATGGTGAAGCATGTGGCGAGAATGTCGACGACCAGAATCGCGCCAGCTAGCTGCCATGAAGGGATGGATGACCAGAATGGACCGTTGGCGCGGGTGATGAAAATAAGCCAATTCTCAGTCAGTGTGATCTCGAGGAATAGAATAGGGTCACGCTGGCCATGGTTCTGGACAATGCCACCTTCGACGCCCTGTTGCTCGCCTGTGAGGTAAGGCAGCATCGTTGTCATCGTGATCCAGGTGCCTACAGCGAGGATGACGCCAAGGAGGATCGACATTCCCCAGAGTTTGGGGAGATTCCATTTGACAGGAGTCCGGCTGTATGGCGCGTTATCATAGGCGATAGCCAGCGTCGCTACGTTCGATTAGCTCGTGCATGAAGAATGCAGAAGTGGTGCTTACCGATATCAGCAAAGATTGCGATGAACACTACCAACTGTAGGTTCAGGCTTTCGTTGAGAATAGCGATCCAAAGACCCAAGAATATTTCCAGGTGCAGCGACAAGGCGATGCGGTAGACGACATAAGCATACATGCGATGGAAGATTTGACGCGAGGTCTTCAGCGCGTCGATGATCGCAGAGAGACCAGGAGCCAGGAACACAATATCGGCAGCGGAGCAGGCGGCGTCAGAAGCGCCTTGCACGGCAATGCCAGTATCTGCCTTCTTCAACGAAGGCGCATCGTTCACGCCATCGCCAGTCATCGCGACAAGGTATCCTCTCTGCTGCAGAATCTCTACAACGTTGTATTTGTGCTGTGGGAACACTTCTGCAAAGCCATCTGCACCTTCAACGAAGTCATAGAACTCCGAACCAGGCATTTCGCCGCCACCGCTCAGACCGAGCTTCTCAGCATCAAAGATGTTAGTGCCTATGTCTAGAGTCAGCCAAGTGTTACGCGTCGAGATAGTTATATCCTTACCTAAGCCGAGCTGACGCGACGTCTCTCGCGCGATGCCAACGGCATCACCAGTCAGCATCTTAATGGAAAGACCCAGTGACTTCGCTTCGTTGATCGTGCGATACGTGTCGTGACGCGGAGGATCTGAGCATGGCATAATGCCCAAAATTTCCCAGCGCTCATCTTCGCGCTTGCGAGCAACACCAAGCGAGCGAAAGCCGCGCGTAGCAAACTCCGCGACCTTGTTCTTGTACGAGTCTACGACATGCTCTGGAAGTTCACCGTCTTCCTCAACAGTCCGAAGCACGAAAAGTGGAGCGCCCTTGACGCATGTTATGCGCTCACCTTGGGGCGACTCGACGACTGCCTGAACTTTCTTGGATACTGGGTCGAATGGATGAAAACGGATGGCTTTGTACTTGCTGAGCACGTATTTAGCGCGCGGATAGTGGCGTAGAGACTTGAGGAAAGCCTTGTCGATGGCATCGATGCCTTTCTTCTTCCTTGATGCGGCCAAGCAGGCAGTAAGCATTAGGTCTTCCGGATCAACCCCTGGTACAGTATATGGTTCAGCTAGAGAAAGCTTGTTCTTTGTCAGCGTTCCAGTTTTGTCAGAGCACAAGATCTCGACACCAGCAAGCGATTCAATGGCCGAGAGCTTCTGCACGATAGCTTGCTTCTTGGCTAGGTAAGCCGCACCGACTGCCATAGTCGTCGTTACAACAGCAGGAAGACCGACAGGCACTCCGACGATCGTTATCGCGAGTGTGAACCGGAGGATAGTGACGATGTCGTTTGATCGATAGAAAGAGCTTATCCAGACAACCAGCAATGAAACGATGACCAAAACCAACAGAATCGTTCCAATGCCGTGCAGTACCTGGGTGAAGTGACCGGGCCCGCTGGAAGCGCTTGCAACGAGCGATGCTGCACGCCCAACAAACGTCGAATCGCCGGTAGCTGTAATCACAACGAAAGCCTCGCCGCGCTTGACTGCAGAAGATGCGTAGCACGTATCTCCTCGGTGCTTGTCGACAGCCAATGATTCTCCAGTGATCGAAGATTGATCAACCTGCACGAACGCATTCTCCGTAACGATGCGCCCATCAGCTGGAACGATGACGCCCTCCTCGACTTGCAGAATGTCGCCAGGCACCACGTCAGATGCTTCGATCTCAATCAAAGTGCCGTCGCGTAATACAGTAGCCTTGAGGGCCAGCGTCTTCTTCAGTTCTTCCACGATGGAGCCAGCCTGGTACTCTTGGATGAAGCCTACACTCGCATTTAGGAGGAGCAAGCCGCAGATGACACCAAAGTCGACCCAGTCCTGGAGTCCTGCAGCGAGAATGGCAGCCGCTTCCATGACAAATTGGATTGGTCCGACAAAGAACATCAGAAATTTGACCCAGTTGTTCGTTGACTCCTCTGCATATGGTGAGCAAGTGCTGATGGTGAGAAAGAAGTATAAGTACCTTTCATTTTGTTTTCGCCAAATTTCTTCCGCCGTATGAGTACCTCTGCGGACGTCAAGCCAATGCGCGTGTCAGTCTGTAGAAGTTCTTCTGGGATGAGGCGTGCGCCGCCTGGTTGTTGCGCTTCTTCCTCTTCGTAGTCGGCGTTTTCGCCATCTTGTGACTCTAGATCTTCGATGAGCTGATCTATGTCCTCATCCTCCTCTTCATCGTCCAACTCAATGTCATCCATGTGAACGTTCTTTTCCTGGAAATGGTACTTGTCGTATGTCTGGCCATTTGATGGATATATGCCGTCGCGATCCGGTGACGTACCGGCTGGCGACTGCATTCAGTCAGCTCTGATTAGACAGCTGGTAGGTCAAGCCCAGTAGTGTTGGGGCTCTATGACAACTTACCTCGGACATCTTGATGTAATGCTAGTCGCTGATAATGTCAAACACTATATGCAGTTTGCTGTTTGTATGATACAAAGGGCCAAGGAATATTTGTCGGTTACGCGAAGCGACTAGCTATGTTGCGAGTGCATCTGCGTCGATGTTGAGTGAAGTGTGGGCCAATGCGCTTTCATCCGTGGAAAGGGCTTCTCTGAAGCATCGTTGCGCGGGAAAGACTTCAGAGCGCAGAAAAACAACCCTGAGCCTGAACACCACGCGGGGTGCGTTAACAAACACAGTCGCGATCGCGCAACGCGACGTTTGTCGTCGGAGGGGCCTGCAGGAACGACCGAGGTGGGTTGGAACGACTCTGACCGGAATGTTGTGAGAACCCCACGGGTTGATGAGGCCACAAGGACGCGCATGATCAGCCTAGCCTGTTTTGAAGTTAAAGGGTCACGTCGAGAACCAGCCGCCAAGATAAGGTGGCCAGCTTGCGGGATCGCTGGGATTGTGAGCTGCGGCGGCCTGCTCCAGGGCTTAAGATTATTAGCTCGGCCCTTGGGGTTTAGTGCATTTGGCATCGCAATCTGTTTGGTATGTAGTCTGCGTGTCTATTGCGTTAGTATGAGCAAAAGACACCAGACGATAGTTTCATCGTATAGAAACCGCAATGTATACGATCCTTATCGTGTTACTTGATTTTATGATGTTCTGCTCCAGGACTCGTGGTGGTGTGTTGCGCGACAAACTTCCGTGGGTAGAATCCTAAGCCTGCGCCTAGCATGGCCATCCCATGTCACCAATTCAAATCGACCAGATATTGTCACAGATCATGTTCGACATGACGTAGCGCATATTCCTGTCAGCTCACCGATGACACACGAGCCTCGCAAGACGATCTATTGCGACTCTTCTAAAAGGCTGGACATGGCAGAACGGAACACGAGGATCGTTTGTGTGGATGAGCTGTTCATCAAGACTAAGCTTGACAAGGGCGCTGCGACGCACAGGTCATCCTCAATCTGAGTGGCGCATAGTGAAGTTGAGTTCTTCAATCCGTTGACTCAACGCCATAAAGGGCTCCAAAAACTAGATACGACGAACTTCGTGACATTGGGTCTGCGGCAGCGCCAAGTTTGACTCGACCCATATCGAGTCCTACGCACCCGTCAAGCATTTGCTTGCTGCAAATATAGTATCCCGAATTTCATGTCAATGAAGGTCTGGCTAGAAGTATAAGAAGGTCTTGCCACCACAGCAGTCCATCGCGATGTGTGCGTCTGTAAGACCCAGTTTACTGCTTCTGGCGGGATGTCCCTATTCCGTCTGCGTGGAGAGCTTGCACAACAGTCTCTTCCAGCAGGCAGATAAGTAGGATAGGACAAGAATTGAGTCTGGCCTCACGAGAGATTGACCGCGCGCTGAACTCGTAAGGCCGACGCGTAGGATCCCTGAGCAACTGCTGTGCTTTTGGGAAGATCTGAACAAATGTTTTGTAGGGTTTCGGTAAACGCACTGTGGACCCAGTTGCCGTGACGTTTCTTTTTCTTCATCTGGAGCAGTATCGCTGGTGCACGGTGCACCAACGTGTTTCCAAGGTCGCCTCCGTCCGCCCTCGACGCTACCCATACATAGCGTGATCGGACCTTTCAAAGCCCTTCTGTCAACGCAGCGACTTGAGTAGGGCTCGAAAGACTGTCACACTAGACGTCTCCCGCCGCGCATCATTCGAGAAGCGTTCTTCTCATATACTTGTAACGCATACGTGCATTCCTAAACTCAATTTCCTCGCGGTCTCCTGAAGCAGATCGGCTTACCGTGCTCCCTCTCTCTAGATCCACCGTTCGCGCCTGATGCAACCCTACACTGCCTGCGGAATGCGCGTAGACAATGGAAGAGAACGCGAAGTGTCATCCACCTGAGCGTGGCCGAACCGCGGGATGCCAGCTCGTCTGCTACGCGCCGCTGGGACATAGTAGAGCTGCGCATAACCCCGCTTCTGCTGAGTCTGGTAGGCTGTCCGTTCCACAGATACAGACGGAGAGGTCGATGATCGATGGATAGAGAGACGCGCTGGATTACTGGCTCAATATCGGCGTTGGCTCCTGGCTGACAAGAACTACCCAGGTAGGAACGAGGGAGGTCGGTCGCGTCGATTTGGTGCAGACTCTGACAAGCAGCTCCACGTCTGGACAACCGGAGATTGTGCCCATGTTGCGCGTCCTCCAAGCCCTGTCGAGTATATCTCTTTACCACGAACGTTATCTAGCATTGCAGCCAAGACACCGAAGATGAATGGCAAGTTGGCTGAGGAGACGCGTCCGAAGTTTGGTGGGGTGTGGCCCGTGCGCGGCCCGAAGACACTTCCACTTCCACTTCAAACTTCGCCCGTCTCCACGAAGTTTGTAACTTCATCATCTCTACAGCTCTCGCTTGGGGTATGACGCTGTCGGGATTCTCCCGACCGAAAGCTCCTTCTGGAATTCTTTGCGGCCATCCGCTTCGCTAGCACTTATCGCTGCCCCTCCATAGACCTGCTCTTGCTTTCTTGTTCGTTTGGTGTTGTGGAAAAGAGATCGGCTCGCAGCAGCATTTCAGCGACGGCAATGGGTACCTTTCTACTCCTGCATACTTGAGGTGCTCGCCTGAGTCCTGGTATTATGGTAGGCTATCTGCCATCTTGAGAGGTATCCGTAAGACAAAAAGAGTTGGGATCCAGCGATTGCCAGGTAGGCGGCGGATATCGCACCATCTGTATCGACATACCAGGATACGACGACTGGACATGCAATATGATGGACCGACGGCGAAAGTGTGATACAGTCGGTTCGGGGTTGCCTCAGGTCCCATTGAGGCGTCATGCTCCCCCTTTTCCAAGCCCTTTGTCCGTAACCTGCATCGAGAGGACAAACATCGTCTCGTTGTGTTCGGTGCCGATGCTAGCTTCGTGGGCGCATCGGGTGTCGTCCAGCGTCTGGTATAGCTGTCGCGCGGGGAGGGTAGTTGGGTCTTCTGCCGGTCGATGAGCGTCGGAGGAGGCTGCCACTGCCGTCAGCACACCAGGTCTGGCGTCGTCGAGTGCCATCAAAAGGGCGCTCCACTGGAAGGCGTGGTAGTGCACCTAAGATCGCTATAGGAGGCATGTCCGTCGGCAAGCTGTAGTCTGGTCAGCACGACTGGTCGCTCTACCACGAGAAACAGGGTGATGCACTTATCAGAGGCGCCGTCGATGTCTCCTTCAGCCAATGCTCTGCTGTGGATGGTCAAGTCTCAGGGGCCCTTGCTGTGAGGGATGTTCGCGCTTGTTGCTGTGAGGGAAAGGGTCGGCTGAAGCGTCGGTTCGCGTAGCTCCTCCGTCGGTCACGTTCTAGCTTGATGCACGTCGGTATAGCTCGTATTGCAGCTGGCTTAAGAGATCTACTCAGGCTCGGTCTGGAATATAGGGAGACTCAGGAGAGCTTCATCACAGTAAGAAGCTTGTCCGATCAGCCTCGTCGTTGCGTAGGCGGCGCTCCGGGAGTTAGCGTATCTCGACGCCCGAGCTCCCGCCCACTGCGTATAAACTCGCTCCCTCCACTACCCCACCAATACTATACATCAGTCGTCGTCCACGATTGTTAGACGGGTATCCGGTAAATTGGCTCGTAAGTTACCCCCGCTGCATAGCTCGGATCGAAAGGCTTTCAGGCTCGTGCGTAACAAACGTTGACAGATGCAGTACGCAGACGCGATACAGAACCGACACGAGTGCCTATCACTACGCACAACCCCCGGAAACACATCATCGGAGTCTCAGTATTCTGAACACAGATCGAGTTCTACTGTGCCTCTAGTACTCCGACATACGATCCTGGAAGACCTCACTGTGAGTAGTAGGCAAGATCGGCAGCTCTCTGGGCCTTTATTGACGTCTCACATAGCTTTCCGGATTAACAAACAAGATCTGCGCGTCTCTATAGCTCTCTTGAAGACCCAAGCCTTGGTATGTTACCTTCCGCCCACTACACGTGTGCGGATAGCTGACATGTCAACTTCTAGCATTCCTAGCTCGACATGTCCAACAGGCGCAAGGTCTGCCACCCATTTGGAAAGCGTACATCTAGACGTCGTGGCCCGCCAAAATCCAAGTACCGATCCAACGAGCCGAAAGACGTTCCGATCCCCTCATCGCGTAGTCTCATGGTCGAGGTCGTGGACAAATCTGGAGGCGTATCTAAGGAGGTACTTCGGCAAGCTCAACCCAAGCTTGATGGTCTGCCCGACGAGATCCTGTTGATAATCCTCCTTCCTCTCCATAACGACAAAATTACTCTGGACGCGTTCGCCTTGACCGCCAGACACTTTCTTGGTACTGTTCGCACGACAAAATGGATCAACAACCCTATCGCATTACGCTCAGGCCCAGGGGCCGACCCCAAGGCAAACCCAGACCGCGTTCTTGCTCGTCTCATCTACCACTTGTACAATCTATCACATGGTACAACTGCGAGCATTGTCCAAATGTATGCCTCAGGCTTCAAGACGATTTCGATTGATCGGCATCACAACTACATCAACATACTTCCTGCCGATATCTTCACCGCAACCATTATCGAAAGGATGAAAAAGACCATTTACTATATGCCCGGTTTGACCATGACAACCAGGAACTTGTGGCTGCGTCAGGTGCAGGATAGGTATGAGCCGGCAGTAGTCGCCCTTCTGTTGACGTTTCTGTCTGGACTGGAGTCTATCGATCTCAGTGGCGATCTCACATGCCTGTGGTCAGACTTAGCGTCGGTGACTTCTTTCAAGTTGCTCAGCACATTGCATCTTCGACAAATCACGAACTGCGAACTCACTACGAGCTGCTGCAACTTGATGAGGTTACCAAGCCTGAAAGAACTCGCCTTCTTCGACATGACTATCACAGACCAGATATTGCGCAATATTTGTTATCCTGAAAAGCTATCGGTCACAGCTATTCGTCTGATTAGATGCTACATCGCGGGCTGGAAGACGTTTCGCTTGCTTCAACTCTGCAAGAACTTAGAAGTTTTCGAGTACACGATCAACATGGCCCTGTACGTCAAATCATTTGACAGTGACGATAGATGGAACGCCATGTTGTGGGGGTGGCTGCTTTCGCACAAGGCTTCGTTGAGACGCCTCATCCTCACTGGCTCTGGAGGTTCCAACACAGCAGGCGTGTTTCTCGGTGACCTCCGTGAGTTTCACCATCTCCGATACTTGGAAGTCGACCAGAATCTAATCCAAGATGCTTGGCATGCGAATTATGAGACATTGCTGAACCACTTTCCGAAGTCCTTGGAGACGCTCAAAATGAATGAGTGTTCCTCTCAAGTGGCCATCAAGCTTCTGGAAATGGCTGCAGACGCCTTCTGGCCTGAGTTGGGTACCCTGAAGCTGACCTGTCTTCCATGTCTGAAAGGGCTTCCCGCTGTCCGAGCGAAGTTGGATGAGCTCCGCAACGTATGTGAGGAGAAGGGTATCTGGGTTGATGTAGAAGAGTCTGACAATTGACGAACTACACTGGGGTAGTCGTGTTGTCAAGGAGGGTCGAGCTCCTTTACGGGATTTCTTAGCAAACGCGCGAGAGACGCCTTAGCATGCTTTTCTTAGCCACGATTGTACGCATGGGTAGAAACCAGCGGATTAGATGAGCTCGTACTAGAGAGACATGCTTGGATGGTAGTAATGCGGGTCTTACAAAACTATCGACTGTTTGGACAAGTCCGCGCTCACGTTCACGACCGTGATTACTCGCGACGCGCACTCTTGTGGTAGTCTTGGGGGGTGCAGTAACGCGTTCTTACATTGAGCCGTATAATGACACTGTATCAAAATCGGCTCATGGCAGCTTCTGATGCAGATGAAGCGCTCCTCGTGAACGACCGAACCGTGACCTAGAAGTGAATTGATGTGCAAAGCACCAGATGATGGATGGCGATGGTACCAAAATTTGTAGTGGTTCTGAAACGCGGTCTTTTGGTTTTGAAGTTTCATAGCCCAAGAGCAGGTGCCATGGGCCCGAGGGCAGCGCATTCGGCATGGCCCGGCATCGGAGCCAGCGCATAGACCCATCATCCAATCGCACCTTCTCATCGTCTGCAAACACACACTACAATGCGCGATACACTTCCTGCATACATGCAAACATCGTCCGCTGCATCACGACCTCCGCACACTTCGATCGATCTGGGCGCACGTAGCATGCGCTGAAAAGCAAGGCTACTGTAGGGCTGGTGCTCGAACTAGCACTTATCCGGTCCGCACCACACCCTTTTGGGCGCTACCCTACCCCTTCGCTAACGCCATTTGGCCCAGCTGAACAATAACCAATTCCAGGATCACCGAATAGCTAGGCGAGGCATACTATATTCGTGTGAACGCCCTCGGTAGCCCCGTAGGCGCCTGTGGGCTGACAACAAGCCTTCATCTGCGAAGGCTGAGGAATCACAGCGCGAGGGCCACGTACTGAACTCCATAGGGCTGGCGTAAGGCTTGAATGCACGGTACTCTAGAAAGTATTTGGTTGGTACTACAGACTTTTGCATCGCGATAGCGCAGTGATGCAGATGTTGGTATGTGATAGGGATCTTGTGGCGTTGCTAAAGGATGCATTCACTGAACTGAGGCCTTCATGTGGCTTGCTGTATTCATCCTGCGCAACATCAGTGCGGTAAGAAGCCCTCTGAGTATTGTTTCGTGCGGTTGATCCATATATCATGCACTTGTTCCTTTTCTTGAGACACGGCTCGCTACCCGACTACCTTCCAGACCCTGCGTTGTGAGTTGCATACGTTCATAGCAGGCCATCTGCACTTCGCTCGTTACTTTCATAAACTCCACTCTCATATCAAAAATCATGAAGCTATTCACCTACGAAACCTGGGGGGTGCCCAGGGCCGGCTTCGATCCGTCATACAACTTCGTCCGTTCGCACTTCGTCTCACCCGTCGTCCTCGCATGCATCCGCGCCTTGCTCAGCATATACTGCTTCACGACTATCATAACATGCTATACTTGGCTGGCGAACGAGACGGCTACAATCAAACTCAAAGATGTGAACATAGGATCCTATACCATCCAACAAGGCAATGCAGCTATCGGGCAGTCATTCTCATTCTTCACCTACCTCACCTTCTGGTCGCTCGGTTTCTACTTCCTCGTCTCAAGCGTACACACATTCATGTATGCGTTCAGGCAACGAACATGGTTACACACGTGGCCAAAGTGCTTGCAGCTCTTGCATAGCATGTACTATTCGACCATGACCTCGTTCCCGTTCTTGGTCACGATTGTCTTTTGGGGGACTATGAACTCTGGATGGCCAGCTGGCCGGTTTGAGCAGTGGATAAACATCTCCGTTCATGGTCTCAACAGCGTCTTTGCTGCGACTGAGATCATACTATCAGCAACCGAGCCACAGCCGTGGCATCATCTATCCGTCGTCCTTGGAGTCTTGTCGATTTACCTTGGGCTCTCGTACCTCACGCGGTATACTCAGGGCTTCTACGTGTATGAGTGGATGAACCCGGCACACGGTAACGCCAGCATTGTTCTGCATGTCTTGGGTTATGCGGGCGGAATGATTGCGCTGTTCGTGCTCGCACGGTACGCAATTATAGCACGAAATATGCTAGCGCGACGACTGCAGGGGTCTGAGGAAATGGAGTATGGCGAGAAAGGCATTCAACTTGAAGATGATCGGTCCGATACCTGGTCGGCGAAGGTCGGGGTGGTCAAGCCGACGCCCATGCGCGTGCAGAAGAAGCCAGAGATAGTCATTTCCGAAGTCTAGGAGGTAGTGCCGAATTAGCGTCAGGGTTGATGTTAGATATGAATTCAGTCATGACATTGCGCAATGCCATCCTTCGGATATGAATCAGCTTCCTCTTTAGGTTACGGAGTAAGGCCTTTGTGATCTGGCATGTGCACCGTCAACTGAAAGCCTACTCCGGTCTCGCTCATCCATTGTACAGACTTCCACTTCTGCATAGGTCGATCCCTGCCGGCCACAGCCTCAATGCAAAAGTATTCAGAGCTCAGGCAAAAGGCGGCTGTCCAGGCGAGTTTCAGTGTTGGCTTGGAGGCCTAAGGCCGGGCAGTGAGGGGCTAGATGGGAGTGAACTCTCCAACGATTAACAAAACAATCCACAGTTCTCGATGTCATACCAAGGCTGAAGCAATCGAATCCACGGGTGTCGCGGCTACGTGAATGTGCATTGTCGGTGTAGTGGTCTTGTGTACTGTCAGATGCGCAGTTGCCACTTATTTAAAAGATCTTCCTGGCATCGATGCGCGCAATCGATCTCGTTAATAAGTGCTGCACGATCTCGTCGGAATTGTGAGTTCTGTACTGTCCGTTGAGCTCTGGTGCACTATGTGCGAATGACGTGTGCACCGCTCCCTTCCTGGCCCACCATGTGATGAACCCGAGTTATAATGGACACTGAATCTTGTTGACGGCCGCAAGAGTACTCCAGATACACATCACCACCAGGCTAATCGGTAAAGGGCATCAGACACAACGTAGTGTCTGTAATTCAGACTTAGAACAACTTCTGTGGGGTTTGACGCAGGTCCTCCGTGAAAATGGCTGATTTGATTAGGCCAGCGTCGTGACGCCATAGCTCGACATCGCCAACTGTCTTACATTGCGAGAGATGATGTCAAGGCGGAAGATGATGAAGACGAAGTCTGCCTTGTTGATAAGCGTCACGCCCAAGGTCCGTGACTAAAAAGTTGTCCTTGGATCGACGACGAAACCCTTCGGTACCGCTCTCCAGCGCCTTAGGGTCCAGTACTAAGAAAAAAAGGCAGTAGTAATGCTTCCTTGTTGTTCCACAGCTGAAAGCATCACGAGACAATGGAATGCCGAGCTGATCTATGTTATCGCCCGTTCGCACTGATGCGCATCAGCACCTGGGCACCTGTGCGTTCATGTGGCTCAGCCCAGACGGGCTTTGACAATATAGGTAGGGCCAGAAACGGATCGAAAAGACGCACGAGAAACATGCATTTCGAATATTCTTGTTGTTCCCGCTGAGAAGGTGTGGTGATATCTGGACGCGACAGTGATGGTTGAGGATGCACGCGGACAGGGGACCGATGCCATGGATGTGTTGCAGCCTCGGCTACGAAATACTTGCCACGTTCGTGCTTAGCGCGCCCTCTATCTAAAATTAGGAGATAGGGGAGGCAGTGCTGGCGTACTCTCTTTCATCTCAATGGTCCTTGGTGATCGCGTCTTCCGTTACCCATTGCCACCTGCCCGACTCGTTGCATACTCAGAGTAGGATTGTTGCCGCTGGGCGCGTTCCCTCAGCGCCCTCCTTGCTGTCGCGCTGAATGCAGACCTCGGGAGGCGAGCGGCTGGCTGCACAAAGGTCGAGTGACCACGTACCGCCTTGAGCCTCACCGCTTACTGTTCGGTAATATCATGTCAGTAATGCGTAGGGCGTTGGAAGGGTTTTTTAGGTGCCGGACCCGTATCGAAGACGGCGAGCCTCGTTGAAGCTTGGGCGTTTGGCCTGAAAAGTTAGGCCAGCAATGCGTCTCAAAATCCTTTCAGATGAACCCAGATATGGAGTCCTCTAATTTCACATCCATTTCCGTCAGATCTGAGCTTCAATTGGAGTTTCTCTGTCTTGGCCCCGTTGGTATGACTTCAACATGCACCGTTTAAGCAATCTGCACGTCCTTCTGTAAGGATTGTCCCTTCCGACATCTACACATAGCAATTTACCAGCTCACGCCTTACCCCTGCGCCCGACGACCACCGCCACCCCTCTGCTACGCCGCACTAACGTCGCCAACCATATGTATCGCACCTGTTCCACTGACAATACCACGCACCCGGGATTTCGGAAGCATAGAACAGTTGGAGCTAACGGATCTACGAATCGGCTATTAGCATCGTTTAAACTCGCTCGAATACTACAGTGGTGCAGTAGCGCAACGCCCTCAAGCCGCACCTCACCTCCACATTCAACACCAAGCTGTTAGGCCTGGTCTGCACACCCCTGCGTTTAGCCTTGGACATATCCGCATACGAGCCAGCTCTCTTTAGGATGCTACCCGGCGCCCAACTACTGACGATCCCGACCGCATCGTCTAACTATAAGCTTGACGACATCTCGTCTACAAGCAAGCTAGTTCTATCCTCCAATCGACTTATTCTCCACCTCCAGGGCGGCTCGACGCACAACGAAGACGAGGAATACATGGCACAACATAATCACCGTTCCAGCCGCTTGCAGACTGAGAACGAGCTGTGGCTAAATATGCCAGCCTCTTCTACACAACAACAAGAGCATGGCCATCGATTAGAGCCATCCGCCTACAAGGCAACCTCGCAGCGGATCAGTGTAAGCCCTGCGAGCGGCTCGGACCTTAACAAGCCACTACCACCATCGCCATTCGGTCCAGAGAAGCGATCTCACAAGCCAACTTTGTTGCGAGGGTTTCTCCGACGCGAATCTTCAGAGCAACCGGAATCAACCCATCTCCGACCTGGACCGTATCAACCAAAACGGCACTCAGCCAGCCTGAACGTAGACACAAACAGCCAGCACCGCCATACTTACTCCAGAAGCATGCCAAACTCTCCCTACGGGTTCGGTCAATCTACTTATCAGGACCCGGCGACCTTTCCTCGGGCGCATTCTTCAGCCTCAAATCACTCAGACGCCGTGCAGTACCAACCGTACTCGCTGCCACCACAACCGCAGTCCTCCCGGCCTCTACAACAACGTGCTGTTTCTATGAATCCTTACTTCGAGACAGCATCAACACCACGATCGCGCACTTTCCCCGAATCTACGCTTGGCGTTACGGCCCGCGACAACGCCTCTAGTCGGCCACGACCGCACACAACATGGGGCTCTCCCACTGAGGCTTTCACTGACGTGTCTCAATTTCATCTTTTCGCAGAGGCTATGACCGGTCTGCCAAACGACAACGAGTCCTTTTCACCAACCGGCCCACCGCAACTTCGAGGTTCACTTTTCGCCCGAAGAAACACTAATGACACTATCCCAATCCCTCTTCAACATCCTCAGCATTCGTCGAGGACCCTACCAACACGGCGGCCTGCAAGGGAACAGAGAGATGACTGGCAGAATTTTGAGCCACCGCCGCTTATCTCGTCACGAGCAGCACCTGCACTGAACCACACGATGTCGGTGCCCAATCCACCTCTCGATGCTTATCAGCAATGGCAGCCACCATCACACTTGGACGCCGTCACGGCAGAACTGAACCTGCTGGGGCTGAATGACCCTCAAGGATCCGATGATGAACTTCCGGACTATCAACAAAGCCAGGCAGAAATGGCAGCGAAAAAGAGACAAGAAGCGTCAGCAAGGGCTCGCGAACTAGAAGCGAGGTGGAGAGGTACGCGAAGATGAACACGATCATCGAGAAAGAGGTCATCCCAACAGGTCAAAACCAAATATACTGCATAATATCAAAGTTCACGTTCCTTCCGCATGCGAATGTTAATTTCGTCAGCCTTCGCGAAGGCTGAAGAGATATAGACTTCAGACCCAAATCTGGACTCGCTACTCCACATCTCCGGCCTTTCGAAGGGCCAAACGATATGTAGGCTGCATTTAACCCCGGCCCATCGTTCATGATCCCTAATTCTAATACATCCATCCGTGTTTCTCAACACATATCGATGTCGAAGTGAACCATATACGCATGACTGCTGCAGTCATGGGGATGATGCAGCGTTGCGGCACCGCCCCCGCAATCGCCTGTCCCGGGCCGGTCTATCGTTCGATTGTATGTATTGCCTACATTGGTGTTACGCCAAACAGAACTTGTAAGGGTCAGATGTTTACCGGAAAGGGAATTCGGCCCCTACATTGATTGGCATCATGCATACGAAAGAGTAATTTGTATGGATGCAATTTCCAAAGTGAATACTAGTGTAGCTGATAGTCACGATAGGGAACAGGGTCAATACTGTTGGACAGGTGTCTCCGGGCGAGTATCGCGCTAGCACACCTAAATTGAACTGAGCAGTCACCCATAGCACATCCCTTCACGCATAGCATGTTTGACGTTGTCACTTCGCTGTAAGCAAATTGGACATTGTCCAGTAGAGATCCGGACAGCTATGTGAGATGTGACAAAGATATGGGAATATGCCTTGCGGACAGCCTCGTGCGGATCGAAAAATTGACTGCGTGATGTACCTGGCCGGTCATTATCCCGCATGACAAGAGAGCGGCATGAACATGGTCGGTAATACGTACTTATGAAGGCTGGCCAATCATTGAAGTTCTGAGTCACACCCTTTCCATGCCACGTTTTTGGGGCTTATCTAGGTACCGTCACATTACTAGGTTCCGCATGCTGTGAGAAAACGAAGGCTTGGAAATCATGTATGGTACACTCCTACAACTGCGCGTAGTCAACTGACCAGTCTACACATCACTAACCACGTTAATCGTGACACGGAAGTACCCAAAGACCCACTAAAATGCACGTAAGTCTCGAAGGGGAGCAAAGTATATGCGGGGAGTTTGGGGGCGGAAAAGCTTATCATGCGCACGTTGTATGCAGTAGCATACCCAGCGGGCCAAGATCTCGACCCACCACTTTCGACTGCATAATGTATCAATGAGGATCTAATCACCGAAAAGTACAGTAATAGCCAGTGAGTGTCCAAGTGGCAATACTACACACCATGTCTTGCTGTAGGCAAAGCACCACACTATCACCGCGGCTCTCTCGCCATTCCCTCTTTAGGTAACACTCCCGCTTCTGCGCCGAACGACCATTCCGCTG